CTTCATGATGTGTTGAAAGTCTTCAGCTCTATTCATTGCAAGAGTTCCATCGTGTTCATTCTTTAATGTTTCTCTCACTAAACTTATTGCATCTTCCTAGTCCCTTCTCTTCCTAAAAGATAATCAGTCACTGAAGTGTTCCCCAGTAACCTGAAGAAAGGCACCATTAAAGGAGAAAATAGAAACAGCACAAACTATAAAATTAAAGTTTTTGATGAAACTAATAGACAAATTTCTAGCTAGTATTTTTGGAAATAATTTTTAGCAAGTTTTCTATGCTTTTTAAATTTTTAGATCCAATAAATCAATTTTGAGACCACAAACACACCCACATCAAGGCTCAAGCCCAGGGGAAAAGCATCAACTGCTTGGCAGGTTACTTTCAGACGCACTAGGCTAACTATGCAGAAAGTCTGACAACAACCTCCTCCAGGGGAAGAAGAGTGAGAACATGAATTATTTATATAAACAGTGATAATCCCAAACTTTGTTTAAATATACATGGAATCAAGTTTTGATGATCTCTGGGTAGATTATCCAAACTGTGCAATAATAATGTAGTTCTTGAAGGTAACCCTTTTCTTTTAATGCTTATGATCATCATTTTACACCTTAACATCATTTTCCAAAGGTAAATATAAAAGAAAGAATATTTTATTACACTTTTAATAGAAATTTTAAATTACCATTTTGTTTTTATCTATTACTACTTCCCACTATGCTCACATAACATAGGATTGAGTAATTAACATTCAGAATCCAATCAGATGCATTTTATGTAGTGAGTGGTAGGCCATCTTAAATTATAAAACATATTCACAAGATTTCAGAGAGAGCAGAACATTTTTGCCCCCCCCCCCCCCCCTCGAAGGTCACCCTATTGACTTTGAAATGTCTCTGATTTGCCAAAATTTTGCAACCCCCAAATTCTGGTTTCTAATAGAACCCTGTCTGAATTTCTTTCTTTTCTGCCTTCAGCTTAAGGAAACCTGAAAACAGCACATTTACTGGAGCAGCCAGGTAACAAGTCCGTCTCTATTTCTTGGGATTCTTCATTCGTGCAGTGAGAACTTCACTCCATGAAATTTCTATTGGCAGTTTAGATGTATGTTGTAATTAAAGATGATTATGACCTAATTTTGTGGCTCAGGAGTTAAGTAACTCATAAGGCAGGAAAACAAGGTTTGCATGAAATTATTATGTTATGAATGCAAAGCTGATGGTAGAAAGCATTTTGAAAGCAGGTTCTTTGAACTGCAACTTTTTTTTATTATTTGCAAAGATTAATATTGGATCTTGAGTAGTACACCCTCTTCTAATGTTAATGATTCTATTTTATTCATTCATCATAAAATTCTGAAGATTAGCTAGATATGCATTTATAATATCTGCAGTTGGAAAACTATTTTTAATTAGACTACCTGATATTCTCAGTAATTAAAACCATAGTATTCTTCTACACTTTAAGTGCCTTATTTAGTCTTGGATGGCAGGAAAATCTCATGAGTAACTACAATGATGATTTGCATAGTAACTGTGTTTTTGCAGTCTTAAGAAAGCTAAATACTTAAGTATTTCTCAAAAAACCCAGAAAGAACAATAGCTATAGCAGACCTGGATATAACTAAGTATTTGGGAAAGCATGCTTGTGACCAAAACCTAAACATAATCAAAAAATTCAGTTATATTTTCCTGCTTGTGGTAACAACTTAAGCAACAACTTAATTAATAATTTGATAAATATTTGCGGATTTTTTTTAAAAAAATGCTTAATTTTCTGCCAAAGCAAAAAAAAGTCATAGGATATTACAAAATAATGATTTTTCATATTTCCCATGTAAAAGAAATTGGCAATTGCTTTCATCAGCTCTAATACTGAAAAAAAATATAAAAGGAATAGGAAGAAAAGTTGCTGTGTCACTGCTGCAACACAGGAACTGCCATAACCGATCAGCCCCCTCAGTGGTCTTCTTAGCAGTTTTTGTCTCAGAAGTATCTGGTATTGCCTAAAGCCAAAGTGCTGTAGAACTTTTCTTCATTATGACAAACAGCTGAATAACATTTTGTTTCTTCTATGCAGCACCCTGCAGCTTTTGTAAAACCATTACACTTCAAGGCATCACAAGACTTACAGATATTTGATTGATCATTTGATCCAACTCACTATCTTCTTGGTGATTTATACGGTGCTTATATAACTTGAAATAAAAAAAGTCAGCCAGGTTTGTGTTTCACAGTCATTTAGATGCTGTTGGAATCTCAGCCATTACCGCAGCCTAAAATGTGTTATTAAAAATTTTAATCCCTGAGCACATAAGCTTAATAGTGTCTTGTAGTAGCTAGGTTCACCAGGTTAACTAAGCATGGCATAAACATAAATTTCCTTCTACCAGTATTAGATGTGTTCCATTTCCAGCTTAATGTTCCCAGATCTTGTTTAACAGCAGAAGGGACAGAAAAAAAAAAAAAAAAAAAAAAAAAAAGTGCATCCAATTCACCTCCCTACTACATGTACTATTTTATATACTCTCTTCACTGCTCATTCTCTGCTAGTTTAATCTTGTAAGTATAACCTCTTATACAATTATTTAAGGACCTGTAAATGTTTCACCACTTTTCTCTGGACTCTTCATGATTTTGTAGAGCCCTTGGATGCTGTGCAAGACAGAAAGCAACATATTTTCTGGGTTTTTGACTGTTACTGTACACTTTATTCATGATGCGTTTTGAATATCTATATACTACATAGACTACTACAAAATTCCAACTAATTAGTAAATATGCAAACAATTTAATTCAAAGTGCCAGTAGAATAAAAGTAAAGAATATTTTGATGACATACTACTAAACCTGAGTGTTATTAAAAAGTGCTACTAGTAACACAAAAAGTATTGTTAGAAAAATGTCAACCACTGACACTTCAGAAAATATAAGCAATCAAAACTAATCAAATGTTACTTCTCACAAAGTTGAATAATAAATACTGGTTGTAAACGTTAGTAACATTAGTTAGTGCACATAAAAGTATTTTGATCCAGTAAGTCAACTAGATTCCTACTAGTTTGAAAGAAAAGAAGATGTGGATAAAAACGGTCAAGTCTTTAATGACAGTAAGTATCTCAGCACTTCTCCCTTTTCTAATCTGGGTATGAGTGAAACTGGGTGAGCACAGCAACATATTCCCTCTGGGATAGTTTCCTTGCCTCCAGCAATGCAGACAACAGATGAAAGAAATCTTCATGCTTTCTAGTAATGTTGTAATTTTTCCTATACTTGTTCCAGTCTGCCTTTACAGTATCTGGAAGTAATGCACACTTGTCTATCTTGGACAAAGGTTTGGCTATGAGTTTCTCAGCTAGAAAAAGCTAAAAGATACTTCAGATTAATCACTACTGGTGATTAATTCAGTTTTTAAAGTATAGTTAGAAACAAAACACTTAGTAATTCGATTTATAGGAGTTGGCTTCAACAAGACTGCCAAGTGAGTAATCTGTACTCAGTAATTTATTAAATGCTACCTACCTCTATGCACCTATTAAAAACAAAAGCTACACAAAAGGGTTAATAGAAGTAGCTTTGAGTGTTTTAACCTTGAACACTGCAATATATTTTACACAGCAAAGATCAAATAAATCATCTGAAAAAAGAAAAAACGGTAACTAAGCAACAGAGCATACATTTTAAGTCTTGCAAATCAGACATAAAACATTAGATTCAATTTTAGAAAAGTATATGGAAAAGTCAAGTCATTTGCAAGAAATCTGAACAAAAGTCACTTTTAAAGCAGTTACGTTAGTATGATTTGACTAAATGAATAACCGTGGAAAACACACTTGGGAAGGATACAAGCATTTTGGAATAAAAAAATTCTTAAATTTTAACAGTTATTGAACTACTTAGTAAGCAAAAAAAAAAAGTAATAGAAAGTATCCCATGTTTTAAGACAATCATCAGTCTTACTTCACAGGAGGAGAACATAAACTATGCAAAGTTTCCGATCTCTGTTTGTCTGGATAAGTGAGAGTCATTTGGCCTGCTCTGAACATAGCAGTATCTCTAAAGATCTGAAAACAAGAAAGTAAAACTCAAACCCCTGCTTTTTTTCCTGGACAAAAAACTGGCTGTTGTTTCTTTGTTCTTCCATACATTCTGTATTCTGACTGCTAACTAAAATCAGAGAAACAGGAATGCTTCTGCATACAATATAGTATGGGATACGTAAACAACAACATACTGCCATATGCAATTGCAACCCAATATAAGCATATGGTGGGAGTGGAGAGAGATCATATACAGTCAAGACAAAATCCTTTCCTTTGCACCTCCAAACTATGAAGTCTCTATAGTCCACCCTCCTGAGCAGCCTACAGGATGCGTGCAGTCATTCACATCAGAGAACCATCAGCAGCTTTTAAACAGAAATATCGATTGACAAGTAAGCATGTTCAGACGCAGCATATCTCCTGGTCTGGTAATAAGGCTTTATGATCACATTGTGTGTCTTCATTAGGATATTATTATACAGACTGAAAAACTCTTGAGAGAAAAACATCACAGCTTTTTCCTAAGCAACCTGATAGAGAAGGAAATTTCATGGAAGAAAATTTGAAGAATGTGTGGGCAGTGTGTATTCCAAGAACAACAGTCAAACGCATACAGAAAGTATGTCAGGTTTTGACAACTCCATGTTGTTTCTTCAACCATTATTCACCTCAAGTAGCTGTGAGAGATACTTCTGTCAACCTTGGAGTCAATGGGAGACTTGCCACTCCTTACAATGGCACAAGAGTAGGCAGAATATTTAATTGACACATGATTGAACAGCTGGTTCAATAGGAGACAAACGTTAGACATCTGCTGAAAATCTACCAGCTTGCCTGCAATGAGGTCTACACATCAGAAATTTTCCAAGAAGGATTGAAAATTAGAACAGTCCACCTGGTACACAAAGGACATACTCCACCACTAACTTAGAGAATCCTTCCTTCTCAAGTTATTACCTTATGTAGTGTTGGAGAACCTTCCGCTGCTTCTCTTGGTCCTTCGGGTAGGAGAGGAGCAGAATCTGGTACTAATCCTGAAGGTTGTTCTTCGTATTCTTCTGAAAACAGGTTCCATAATTCACCATTATGCGAGCCATGAAAAGAATTATGAAAGCATCTATTTTATATGAACAACCATGGCATTACGATCTAGCCAATAATGGGATGTGAACTGAAACAGGTGACAAATGTTTGAAGCCAAATTTCGTATGAGAATTTATCAAAATTTTCCTATTAACTTTTATTTATATTAGTAAACTTAGAATTAAGTGTAATTTAGATAGGTAATTATATAAAATAAAAATAATCAAACACTTACATAACTAAGAACAAAGTCCATACTGACAGCAATGCAGCTGATACTTAAAAAAATTTATCATATGCATTTCTTTTGATTCAATAATAAGATTGTCACCAACTGAAATAACAAATTACATACGGATTTTTTTTTTTTTTAAGAACAGGCCATCACTGAAGACTCTTCCTACAGACTGCTCTCTGTCTTATTTTGCAAGGACGAAAGGAAGGAGAAAATACACAGGATGTGCAAGGGGAGGACAAAGAGAAAGGGCAGTAGTTAAGCTAACTTTAATTACCATCATCAAGTTAGCACAGTTTCATGTCCATGTTTTTTTAGGGAAGAGGCATAAATACTAGACTTCACTTGAAAGACAGAGGGAGGAACTAGAAAATGGGGGAAAACATCTTGAGAAATGTTGGGTAAAAAGATTTCTAAACACCAATATAACAGATAGTTTGATAGCTTAGGAAGACAAACTAATTTCTTGTAGCATGTGACGACACACTGTCCATAAGCTGAGTACTAACAACTGGCAGGACACTGGGCATCTTTACATCAGTTGACTTGGTAGGATACTTCCAAGTATATTATTTGTTCAGGTTTATTTAGGTTTGTCTGTATTAGTTTAATCAAAACTGTTTTAATGATAAGGACCTGTAGCAAGTTCAATGCTCGGATATGAAATTTAACCATTACTGTTCTTTTAAAACTTCATACTGAAATCCACTTATTTGGGAACTGAGCATTCTCCATTAGAATAGGGGGAAATTCAAGAGTTGTTACAAAAGTAACTGGCTAGATCTCACAGATTGCCTAAGAAAAAACTTAAGATGTTTGTGACATGCTTTGATGTGTCCTAAAACTTTACTAAGATACAGCATGGACCAGGTGGCTATATGTAAGAAAAGATGAGGAATCGATCCTCTAGGGGTCCCTTCCAACCCAAAACATTCTATGATTCTATGATTCTATAATTAAACCAGTACTATATAAGCTGGAACGTTTAACTAAGAGCCAATAACTTCCTAAGTCAGGTATGCTAACTTGCTAACTCGTTAGCTAACTTTATACAATTTCTGCATCACAATAAGTCATCATTATGCCATCTGCATGCTACATAAATTCGTATCTTCAAAACAATAAGCAGTACAGCATGGTAAAATCTTGTACCATCAGTTAGACCCACACCGGTATACCAGGAAGACAGCAGTAAACTTACTTTCACCAGCCACATAATTAGCTGGAAAATAGCCTTGCTGTCCATTTGCTAGGCTGCCAAACCACCAGTTATCATTATCTTTGTATAACACTTGGATAATGTCACTGCGATGGATGGTTAGCTCATCTGATCGATGCGCTGTGTAGTCATAAAGAGCCACTACCTAAAAGAGAGATAAGAGCACCACAGCTTTATCACAACCATGCCACAGAGAAAAAAGCGCAACATTCACTTCCTCTTGCAGAAAAGCAGCTGAAACCAAAGCTGCACTTTGGTAAAAGCTGAGGCTGTCTCAAGTTTTGCTAATGGGATCAGGGGTGGTGGGAAAGCAGCAGGAGAGGCAAGATAAAGGACTGTGGGATTGCAGAAATGGTTAAGAACATTCAATTCACTAAGATTAGCTTCAAAACAGCAGCTGTTAGTTTTATAAGCAATTTACTTGTGAAGCAAAAGGAAAAAAAAAAAAAACACTTCATACATTCACTTTCTCAGAATTGTTACACCACCTTCAGATCCCATTCTGTGTGCACTCATGGAAGCATATGTGTTCGAATAAATACTTCAACAGTATGACAGTTTTACCGAAGGAAGAATTTAGTACAAAGATGTCATTGCAAAGTTTTGCTTTGATCACTCCACTTTTGCCTTTTTTTGTTTAGAAATAAGGATTTGCATGCTCAATTTTATAAATATCTGCCAAAAATAAATTTATATTCCACTTCACATAATAAATCCACTTGCCAGTGAAATACACTGCATCTATACTTTTCTGGAAAAAAAGTACTAATAGTGATCAGCACCATGCATAGAATACATTATCAGAAGCCTGCTTTCTACCCTGGATAGGAAAATATCAAGTATAATTTCTTATTTATTTCCTATGCCCCATGAGCAATAATCTGTCCTGATGAATTCAGAGTAGAAAAGTCTGAAAAGATGACACGTGAACTGAAAGAGTAAGGGAATTGCTCACTTCCCTCATCATAAGTGAAGAACAAAATTATGATCTATTTTACACAAAGAACACTGTTCCCTACATATAATCTTCACCTCAGATCCCTCTACAAAATTCTAAGTAACAGAAACAGCTATCATTAGGAGCGACAGGAGGCTACAGGGGATTGAAGGAGACAGCAAAGTTACTACGAATATAGGAATTTGGAGAAAACACTTCCTTTTCTTATTACTCATGCATGCATTTAAATCTTAAGACTGCTGAACTGCACAGTGCTTTTTATATTTGTATTTCTGTTCTGAGTAAGATAACCTATGAGTTATGTGTGTAAAAATATAGCCAAGGTCGCTTGTATTTTCATACTTCCATGTCATCAATTAAACAGATTAAATCAGTCATGAATGGGAAAAGATGATTCCACCATTGCAAATTCTATGTGGTAATTTGTGATCTGGTCAGCCTCAAAGAATTAGTATCAGGACGGTTCTCAGTAGACAGGAAATTTATCTAAATATGCATTCAGTACTCCTGAACTTACATAAAGCAGCTAAACAATAAAATAACATCCTTGTATCATAACTCTCCTCCCTGCATTAGGAAAGCTAATATAGTAATTACAGGAGATGTTGACAATATAGAAACATGAACTTTACAAGAAAATAGAACCAAAACAAAACACATTAAAGAACACCACAGATAAACATTACAGAACTGGAAGCTTGCATGATCATGTCCAGTAAGAGGTGCTCTAACAGTGCCCACTTCAGTTAAGGGGCAACGGTTTCCTTAGTGATAGATAGCACTACGACAAACTTGAGGTCACTTTAAGGTGGAAAGAAAAAAAAAAAAAAAAAAAAAAAAAAAAAAAAAAAGGAATGTAACACTAATTACTTGGCAGCATGAAGAACAATGAAAGGCACTACTTTTTGCAGTGTCTTTTGTAAGATAGCTCTAGTGTAAATGTTTTGGGTTTTGGAAAAAATTAAAAAAATTTAGTAACATGGAAACATTGCCAAGAGACAGTTCAAACCAATCAAGCAAGTCCCATTGTCTGTCTCCCAGAAATAGAAAAATAAAATACCAACGTGTCCTGTAATACAACTGGTTGAGCAAGCCCAATAATTTAAAAGAAATGTGGAAATTGCCATTATATTCTCTGGAGACATATGATCAGAAAATGAGCATAAGGAGATACAGGAAAAGCATCTCAGGACCAAAGAAGAATGTAAAACACTCACAATCACACCCAAAGCAATGAAATTTCTTCTGGTGTGGCATTCAGACATGTTAAGTTCTGTCTGGGTCCAAGTTCAAGAGAAAAAAAAAAAAGAAAAAAAAAAAATCTATATTCATCGAAATTTTACAAAATGATTTTTCAAGAGTGATACAGACCAGCAGTAATGTGGTTATGGTGATTATGAACATTTTTGTACAAATTACAAAATCTGGGGTAGCAAAAAAAAAAAAATAATCTGTGGGATCATACTAAAAAAAAAGAATGTTCTTTCAAAAGCACACATACAGTGTAACAGGTATACAAAATACTGCAAAAAACTACATAATACTTACTGTCTCTTGCTCAAGTGGACAACTGCTCACCCCCAGTGCAGTCAGGCAGTCATCATTCTAGAAGAAGAAATTATTTTAAGAGTTTAATATGAAGTATTTTGATAAAATATTATTTTGATTATTTTCATGTCTACCGTAAACCAGTAAGAACTATGTGTAATAAAATACTTTTTAAAAAAAAGAAAAAACAGAAGAAGTGATGTTAAGCAACACTGAGTAATATTGGCTATGTAGATATTTAGAAAGAGATATTAAGTTTTTCAAGTATGTACACTACACTAAGGACAACATGGGGGAAGACAGGATTGATGACTATGCAGTCTAAGTTTGTTTGCATTGCAAACACTACAGTAGACATTTAAGAAATTGTTGCAGAGAACTTTACCGCTGAACCAGTATGCAAAAGATGCCACTTTCACATAACGGAGAATTTCAAGTTGGTCTTCATAACCAATACTTTCCATTTAATTCTAATTTTTCTATCTTTATCACTTACTCTTCAGACTTCCAACGAAGTCAAAGGAATAGCAGGTATATAATGCAATAATTAGGATGTGCCTGTACCTACAAAATTTTATTTCTGTCAAACAATAGAATTCTTCAGCTGAAGGAAGATTTAAAACAGAAAAATTATGAAAATTAGCAGAGGAACAACAAATTAGAACAAAGTTGAAAGTTCTTAGCTCATGTTACTTAATTTTTTTTTCAATGGCCTATTTTCACAGAGGGGAAACCAGTTTCCCCCTAGATTTTGTGTGCATCAAAGGATACAAACTACAATGCAGAATAGAAATACTACACAGCAATTAAAATAGAAGAATCAAGTGCGAGATTTGTGAAGTAAACGTTTCCACACATAACAGATTATAAACATTTACATTTGAGAATTTCTATCCAACATACTTCACCTTTTCTGTCTTTTACAGCCCTTCCTTTAAATGTCTTTTGCAAGAACTTCTTTCTCTGGCTTTTTTAGAACATTTATCTGAAATGTATTGCACCTTTTATTTTCTGTTTTTTTTTATTAGGGTGATCCAAGGAACACCATTACTGCAATCCTCAGCAGAATAAATGGCATTCTCTAGAACAGAGATTCTTGCCCTCAGCGTTGTTTTCCTAACTTAGCTAGGCTTATCCCACATGGGAAAGAAGCCATTGACTATCCTGAACACAGAGGTTCCATCCAGTCTCCAGATTGTTTCGGTATTGCCACAGTAGTTACAGACACATGTGGTACAGAGAGATGAACACAGCATAAAAGCAAACTGTTGCCCTCAGTTCTTAACACCTACCAGAACATCTAAGCCTACCACCTAAAGAGTGCTGAATAATTATGTACATACTTGGGGGGTGGGAAGTAACTGCCTGGTTTGATAAACAAATTTTGAACAAAGACTGGTGGAGCTGCAGTTCAGAGTACATGGCTTGTTCAGTGGTCTACTGGTAGCTAGCACCGCCTTACAGGTTTCAGCTAATTCTCATTTTCCATTCTCAAGGTTAAGAGAACTGTGCAGGCAATGTGCTTAGCCTGTGGGATGGGAGTGCCTCCTGTTGCTCAAAAATGATTCATCAGAATTATTAGCAGTATTATTTAGGTATCTAGTTCAGGTACTCACATTGCCCCATTATTGTGTCTCAATCTGTCTCTCTCTCTTTTTAATAAAGTATGTATGTGCTCTCAAACACTCAATGTAAGCAGAGCTTGAAGAGAGCGAGCTGTTTGGAAATAACAAGTAAAATCCATGAGTCATCCTGAGACTATGTCGAATGTTCTCAGACACTGTGTTAAAAAGTTAAGGCAACAACAATCCAAAGAGTTTCCTCTTAAAGAGATACTCCGAGTATGTCACGGGCTGCACACACTCCCTACCTCCAGTGGGACAGGGGAATTGCCACGGCCGCCGACCACAAGCGTAGCTACTGCAAGGCAGCAGAGCTGCCTCTGCCGTGCCGTGCCGTTTCTCAAACGGTGCCAACTACCAGTTACACTGCAAGTAACACCCAGCAAAAACTACCGGCCTTTCAGTTCAGAAACATCATTTTTTAATGTCATGCTGCAAGATTAAGCCACATTTTCAGGATTCCAAGAAAGTGACAGACATACTGAAGTGTATGAATACGTTGTTCTTAACACAATAGTAATGCCTCCTTTTTTTAACGCAAGATGGAAACTAGTTAATCCTTTTCTTGCATCGGAACGGACGTGGGGCTATAGTTATCTTCCGAGGAGTTGGTCTTTCTGGGAGGCAGACCATCTGTGAGATACAGGAGCAAAATGCTTGCTGAAAAGCCTGCCATGTCACACTGATTTTGGCTGAACAAAGCTGTTAGGGGCTTTCAGGGTAAGGAACATCCTTGGAAGAAGATAAATAGATCCAGCAGTTGACGCAGAGTTCTAAACCATGGAATATCACGCTGGTTATCCACGACTAACCCACTTGGATATCCTTGACATTTCTAACACCAAAAAAACCCCCCAAACTGTTTTAAGACACTAATACAAAAGAGAGCATTGCAGGTAAGAGTAAATGGATAAATAAAGTTGATGTATCAAGTGTCACCGATTCCTGATAATAGCACTAATTAAAATGTTTATGGCTTCTTTTTAACTGGGAAGTTTCAGTGACTGTGGCAAGGGAGGTTTTGCTTTTATTCATGCAGAGGTATAGCGGCCAACAGGATTTGGGTATTAGATAGCATTCATCCCCTTAGGAGAAGCAGCACTGAGTAAGAACAAGTGATATATTATTACTGGCTTTTCTGTAAAAAAGTCAGCATTTCATTTCTCCTACTGAAAAAATATATTTCAAATACCATAATATCAAAGTTTAAAGAAAAAGAAGATGGAAAAATGTAAAGTCTAACGGTGGTTTCATATGCTTCTTCCTTATATGTAAACACATTCTTCCTTGTAACAGAATAAACATACAGATGAAGTCCCACTTCTAATTAGTCATTAACTCTTAATTACTACACTTGGAAAATAAGCTTTTCTAAGATTAATCGTAGGCAGATATTACGCATACAGGGGTGAAACCCAATGTGTGTGCATATAGGGCCAAAGCCACCCTCCCTCCTTTCCCCCGTTAGAATGACACTTGGTGACATGAAGGAGAACAAACATCTGTTTCTTGGATGCTGCACAGTGCCACTGCTTCTCTCCACTCCACCTCCCTATACCTGCTATCTGCCAAAATGGAAGAGAAACTGGCAGCCTTACTTGTGCAAACACTCCAGGAAAGACACAGGGAATGAGTGTTAAAGCTTCTTTTGCCTGTTCAGTAAATCTGTGCCTCACTGTGTAATAGGCTAGGTTCTGAGACTGTTACCTTTTGGGGGGAGTGTGGTGGTGGTGTTTTTGTTCTATGGTTGTAGGGTTTTTTTGTTTGTTTTTTTTTTCTAAAGGCAACAAAATAAGAAATGAGCTTATAATGCTCAAAAAACCCCATGACTGGCTTAGAAGTGAGGTAATATTTAAAACATTGAAAAATTTTACAGAATCAATCTGAGCTTTTATAGTCGCTCCGTTGTTTTCATTTTTCCTTATGAACCCGAGGGTTAGAAATTTATCTAATCTTCTCCTTCCCCAAGAATGTCAAACAATCTCTTTACCCCAGTAACTGAAGTTTTAAATTAAATGCTAAATAAGCTAAGACATAGCATAAAATAATTGAATATTGTTAGCACTGTCGTATTTCTGTTCTTGTTCTCTGGTCCAATTAGTTGTCAACCCACTCCTAGCTCAGGAACCCCGACTGTACAAATTTAGTCTACAGGAAAGAGAAGTACAAGGACAGTATTAAAGCTAAATTAAAATGATTCTAAAGGTATTAATTGCGAAGAATAATGTACTCTTCTTTGGTCTTAATTAATCTGTATGTAGACACTGTAAAGTTAGTTCCTTAGGCCTCAGAAGACTACAATCCTTATTTGATTACAGTGCTTCAATATTTAATGAGCATGGGAATCTATAATCTGCCTAAAGGAAAAAACCCAAATCTGTGCCAGGCTGCACTTTATTGAAACCTGCAATGTACAAACAGAAATCAGAAATGCAAACACAGCTGCTGCAGTAAAGCCTACAGGGATTACAAAAAAAAAAAAAAAAAAAAAAAAAAAAAAAAAAAAAAAAAAAAGACAGAAAAGGAAAAAAAAGGGGAAAAAAGATCAATTCAGAAGCATGTGGAATACTCTAGCTCCTGAAATTATTCAAAACCTCTTCAACTATTTCATCATTTGTAAATATGCTACTTTCTTGGTATAAACTATTCAGTTTACCCGCACTTATATATATTACTGTGTTTATAACAGAAAAAGTCACAAAAATATTCAATACCTTAATTCAACCCTCTCAGAAGAAAGTACTTTAAATTAGCTGCTACTTAGTATTTTCCAAAACAGTTGATCCTGTAAATATTTATAGAGCTTGCTGTGATGGAGAATATACTGATTGAACATTGTCTACTTTACTTGCTTGAAGATACCTCTTTTGTGAATAAAGGCAGGATAAAAAAAAAAAACCCAACCCCTCTCTACAATGAGAACTTGTGAATAATGACATTTTATAGTTAAACATAAATTTTAAAAAAATGCAAAGATAGAATTCCTTACCATCTGTAGTCTACCCAATAGTGTTCGGCTAAGAGGATTTCCTACCGGGCTGAAACACCCTGTGAAAAGAAAAGGCTGTGAAATTTCTGCTTGTTATCCTTTTCCATCGAATAAACCATTTTATTTTAAAATCATTATGTTAGCAGGATATGTTTGACAAAATTCTAATGAAAAGCAGTAGCATCTTTCAGTCACAACTATGCATCCTTCAGTCAGGAACAGTTGGAGGGTTTATTTAACTAACAGACCTGACACAAGGTTAACTAATCCAATATTTCCATTCAAATGATTTGGAGAAATAGCTCAAGCTACGTCCACATGCCACCTCGTGCTCAAAGCTGACACTATTATCTAGGCTGTATTGCTTTTCTCTTCATTGAATTTCTGAGTAATGCATACAAAGTTTTCCAACAGAAATGATCACAAAAACTCTCAAAGGAATTACTTCCTTATTTTATCTGAAAGAATAACTATGCCTATTCAGTAGTTCCCTTTGATCATCTGAGTTCCTATCACAACACATCTTGCTGTTTATTTTATTCACTCTCTACATAGTGCATTTGAACAAGTACTTGTAAATTCTTTTCTTTTCAAACTATTATGTTAACTACTAAGCTCAGGAAAATCCTTTCATCATCTATGGATTTATCTTTTTGTTATTGGTCTCCTCAGCTGTATACTTAAGAAACATCTTAAAACGAAAAGATACGAAAATCTGAAAGTTGTTGAATACAACAATGAAAAATACTACTGCTTCACCGGAGAACGGCTTCTCAAATATAGAGATGCCAGACAACACAGAGTTAAGCTCACTGGATTTTCTTTGAGACACATTAGATTTGAAACAAGTTTTGTTTTCAAAGCGGAATAACTTCTGAAAACTCATTTTCATTTGCCACTCCAAAAGCCTACTCTTGAGGAGTCCAGTATCTGAATAAAGAGAAATTTTCAGATTCACATTCCCATGTACTGGCACAGCTCCACAAGGAAGCTTGCACAACTCCACCTACAGTGTACTTTCTAAAGCCTAGTGGTTTAGACTTTCACAGGAGATTTACTCATAAATGTTTAATTGTTAAGATATTCAGATATTTGTAAATATAAGAAAAGCTGCAAGCTCAAACAAACATAGTTAAACCATGCTCCTGCAGAGCTGCATGTGAATAATTTTGTACTTGGGAGAAATCCTAAAAAAGTGCAATAACTGATTTTTCAATTTTGTGTATGAATTAAAAATTTTGTGATCTTAATAATTTCAGAAAAGCTTGTATAAATTCTGAAATGCTTCATTTTGAAATGCTGACTTTGATTTTATTACTTTTTCCCATCTCTTTTGAGAAGAGGAAAGAGACGAGAACAGAAACTGTTTTCTGAATTCAACCCATACTCAAAGACAGCAGACCCAAAGCTTACCTTTTTTTAAAATAAGCTATTTGCTGAAACATTTGTTCAGCACTAACACCAAAAGTCAGTGGGGATATTATCCTATTAATATTATTATCTGCATACTTACACAGTTACAAAACAAGCTGCTACAGATGTGATACTACATATGGATATACTATTGCATACAAGTGTCATATCAAGTCCTTGAATTAAAAAAAAAAAAAACAAAAACCACAAACTCAAGCCCCCCCAGATTTTTTTTTTTATCATGCAGACATTTTACTTTGGACAGAGCCAACACTATTTGTTCATATTGATCAAGCTTATTGGTTACCCCAAACTAGTCTTTACTGTTATCCATTAGTTGTTTTCAATTATCAAGCATTCCTTTAGTAGCTCCTACGTTCAGAACAGTCATACTAAAAGAAAAAAAAGATAAAATGGAAATCGAACTGTTCAAATCTTCCTCATTCACAAAACAAGCACGGGAATATTCATCCCTCCTTTCTCAAACGATGCAGTACATTTTCAAAGCAATTTTACACAGCTATTGGGCTTGAGGTGGTTCCATGCTTGATGAAGCGTGTAAATGACACCGAGCAGGTGTGACTAACAGCCTCAGCAGTGCTTGTTCTGGTTATCTCTGATCCAGGCTGTGCAGACTTTTCAACTACTACAGTGAGGTACTGAAATTGAGGTCAGGATTGCAAAAGGACATTTCTACTTCATCCAAAAGTGAAGTTACAGGACACCATGACCTGCTGGGACTCTCACTTAGCCTGAGCTTACATAAAGGGCATTAAATCCCCTGTAAGGTCAAACCTGTAAAAACCAACAACCAGTTTATTTAAACTGTCTTAAGGATGCTTCAGAATCTGTAATGGAGAAGCATTTTTCTTGATTCAGAGGGTTTACTTGAACCCTCCGCCAATCTTTCTTAACTGCATTTGCTGTTCAGCTAATCTTCCCTGTGAAAGTATTAACATTAGAACTACTGTATTCCCTATCACGCTGCATTCATTCTTCAGAGGTCTTCTTTATATGGAATTTTACATGAGAAGAATAAATTATTTCTAGAAGAACCTATTGCTAGTGTCTAAATGCAATGTCAGATGTCTCAAAGTAATAGATGCTATAACTTTTTCTCAAATGAGCAGAAATTTCACATTGACACAACTGAACAGCAGGACAGCTCTTCTCTATAGTCCACATAATCCTCTCGCTATGATTATTTTGTGAGTCCAAGCATGTGCTGATTTAGGTAAATGCCTGCCAAAGAACTGGTATCTTTCGAAAAACAATATAGCTGTCTGCCTTGAGAGGGAGTCTGAAACTGTATTCGTTTCCTGTACAATTTGAACAGTGAACTGAAAGTCTATCCTTAGTTCCCCTGAGTGACTTCTGGCAATATATTCTCTGCCAGTATCATTGCAACTAAAGAGAAAAGAAGACGACAGAAACCAAGAAGTTGTCCTCCTGTTCAAAAATGCATGTCTGTACTACCAAGTTCCCAGTTTTATTGCATGCTTTCACTAAAAAACTACCCTCTGCTCTAGATAAGCACATTAGTGTGAATTGATCAAATTCTAAATAGTTGGGCTGAAATACACAGGAAGTAGATGAGTTCACTTCCAAGCAGATTAAGACTTAAACAGAAGTTTGTATGATAACAGCAACAATGCCCCAAAATAGCACTTGTAATAACTAAGAACATTTCCTATTAAATAACAGCATCTTTAGCTATTATATTTGTTTTAAATTAATAGCAAAAGAGCCAGAACAGGGGGAAAAAAAAAAAAAAAAAGTGCTTCGAGGGAGTCACATAATTCCACTATTATCCTACCAGAGTGCCTACAATCACCCAATATTAAACGTTTACGTGAAAAATTCCTCTTTTAATAGAGGCTGAGAAAACATTAATTATAGAATTTATGTTTTAATTAACTTTTCAAAAGAAGGCTTTTTCTCCCTTCGTGAAATGCTCTTGATAAATTAATTCTTTTAATTAATAAAGGCATTTGTGCACCATAAATCTCCCAAGGATTCTAGACTCATGAAGTCTACACTTAATGAAATCATCCAAAGGTTTATCCTGGAAAATCCTCAATAAATAAATAAATAAATAAAAATCACAGAATACCCACGAACAAATAAATAACTAAAAAAAATGGAAAAAAGATAATATTCAGACATGTCTGTGATCTGTGATGAACCCCTCTAAAGCATACAGAGAGAAAGAAATCTTACCTATTGCAGTTCCACATTATTTTTAATTGAGTTTTACTTTCAGTTTATACTAATTATTAATGTCGAAGAAACCCACAAAGAAATCCTGAAAGACATGAAAATAAAACCATGCCTCTAGGAAATGGTATTTCTTATTGCAGACATTCTTATAATTCATATTGTATCTTCTTGCAACACAGCATAGTAAAAATAAACCCAAATGAACAACAAACACTGGGGAAAAAAGTCTGCTCAGATAGGAGATGAATAAGTCTGTATCAGTTCAGTCCTTTTCCTACTCATCATCTGTGGTTTTAAATCTCTTCCCAGTAAACAGAATTATGTTTTCAGCACAGTCACCTATTCAGAAGTACGACCCTTGTGACCAAAAGATCTTTTAGTATGCAGTAGAATCTCTACTTTAGGCTTCAAAGGAAATTACTTCTGAGGGTTTTTTTAAAATTAAAAGCAGTATTACTCAGTTCTTTCTCTAATTTATATTTTACCTAGCTTGAAAAATAAAGAGAAAGAAGATCATTTTGTAATGATCTAAATATATATTAATCTTCCCTCAAAGGCTTTATCCTCACAACAATTATGCTTTAATAGATCAAACAGAATTCATTAAATAAAAAGATTGTTTATATATTGGATAAGAACCTGTTTTCCTTTACTTAAACACAGGATCGCAAATACTTTCAAAACCCACCGCAAACATTTTCAGACGCAGTTCACATAAAATTAAAGAAATGGATGCACCCACTTAACACATCCATGCCTTTTTGTTTTACCAGCAAAATGGATGTTTCACTAATATCCAATGCTGTACTTCAAATTCTGCTCTGTATAATTTGGTCTAGCACCTAAGATTTTGAACATATTCCAAATTGAACAGGAGAATGGATAGGACCAAGATGTATTGAAAACTGTTTCGATGAAGTTTAATCTGTATCATGGCTTTTAAAATTACTTCGGAACACATTTGGCTGAAGGTAGAGCAAGAAAACCACATTCAAAAGCAGTTCAAAGTGAGACAAGGAACAGAGTAGTTTTAAGATTCTTTCTAAAATAAGTGTTCTCTTTGTAACTAATACAATGCCAAAATAAATGCTTAATTCTCTTGACAGCCCATATCTTGCAAGCCACTTAAAATGTGTATTCTCAGAATAGACTGTTCTCACATGCTATGTTTAAGTGTATATACAGAAGTGCTGTGATGGCATCACTACTGAATGCAAAGGACTTCTACAAACACCCGTAAGATTCTTGCAATGTATTCTGCACTGATAGAAGTCCACTCAACAGCAGGTGAGCCTATGCTGTTACTAGCCCTCTCGTTGTCTTTTCCCCATTTTTTTCTTCTGTCAGAGCATCTGGAAAAGGCTGAACTATCTCCTCAATGTTGTTCTAATTTTCTAAGAGAGGGTCCAATTTCTTAACATAAATC